AATATGATTTGATATAAAATATAAGCAAATAATAATAAAAATAATATAAATAAAATTTCTGAATAATAAAATAATACTAGAAAAATAATAAAATATAACACAATAACAATAATAGAAATAGTAAGATAATAATAATAATAATAATAATAATAATAATAATAATAATAATAATAATAATAATAATAATAATAATAATAATAATAATAATAATAATGTTAGCGTTTACAAATTTATAAGATCGTTGGGAATTTTTCGTTTTAGCCTTGTTGGGCGCGCTTCTGAGAATACTTTGTGTGCCAAGTAATTTGGGTGTTCGTCTATTCTTTTTTTTAGTTGTTTGTTTTTTGTTGAATTTCTTCATTTACGGTCATCATGTTGCTGTGCTGGTGAATCAACCAGTTGGGAATGTATCTAGGTGCGTTCAGTGCCTGCCGTATGATCTTATTCTGCACTCGCTGAATAATCTGTAGATTGTTTTTTTTGGCGGTGCCCCATAGTTGAATCCCATAAGACCACATTGGTTTGAAAATAGATTTGTAAATAATTAGTTTGTTGTTAGTCGACAGTTTGGAACGTTTATTCAGTAGCCAGTAATGTTTTTTAAATAGTTCATCAATCTGCTGTTTTTTCTTGTTAATGTGAACTCTCCAGTTCAATTTTGTGTCTAGGTGTATTCTGAGATATTTTGCGCTATCTTTTACTGGGATTTCCTGTCCATTTAACTTAATTGTAGGGCATATACCAGTACGCAGTGTGAAAGTGATATGCGTAGATTTTGAACCGTTTGTCATAATTCTCCATAAAGAAAGCCATTTTGTAGCAATATCTAGATGTTCTTGTAATAGTTGCGAAGCTATTGCGGGATCTTTATTGGAGACAATGATACATGTATCGTCAGCAAATGTCGACACGCTTGTTCCGGAGTATAAAGGAAAATCCGCTGTAAATATAAGGAATAGAGTTGGAGAAAGGACGCTTCTCTGGGGCACTCCAGATAAGATCTTTCTTTTTGTCGACTTCTCGTTGTTAATGCTGACGAAAAATTCCCTATTTTCAAGGAACGATTTTATTATTGAAAATATCGGTTCTGATAAACAGAGTTTTAGTTTGTACAACAAACCAGTGTGCCATACCTTGTCAAATGCTTGCGCAACGTCTAAAAATCCAGCCGAACAATATTTTTTTGCATGGAACGATTCGTTAATTATATTTACTAGGCGATGAACCTGTTCTATGGTTGAGTGTTGTTCTCTAAAGCCGAATTGGTGATTTGGAATTAGGTTTTGATTCAACAATTCTGACTTAATGCGTTGGAGTAATAATTTTTCAAATATCTTCGAAATACAAGGAAGTAGGCTTATTGGTCTATAGGAAGACAATAAATGAGGATCTTTCCCAGGTTTAGGTATAAGAATTATTTTAACTATTTTCCAAGCTTGAGGGAACACTTTTAATCTAAGAATTGAATTGAATATTATTGTTAATAATCTAAATCACTTTTCTGCCAGTTCTTTTATCATTTTTATCGAAATTTTATCTGGTCCAGGAGATTTATTAGGATTTGCATCCTTGACATAATTTTTCAATTCGATCACCCTTATGCGTTTTATAATTTGGCCTGGTATAGATTCATTCTGTAAGCAATTGTGAATAAAATCTTGTGAATCAGAAATGTATTTTTCAAGTGTTCTGAGAATTCTTCCGATTTTTCTTCTGAACTTCTTGCCCAAGAACCATCAAGTTTACGCACTGGAGGTATATGTACTATCGGCCTTTTTAATCTCTTCGTTGCCTTCCAAAGAGAATAATTTGTGTCTTTAGTAATTGAAAGATTAGTTAAATAATTTTTAAGGCATAAGTTCTTATATTCATATAATAAAGTCTTAAGATTCCTACAGGCACAGTTAAATTTGTTTTCATCGGTCGGTGATCTTGTGGTTTGCCATATTTTTCGCAATTTGCGTTTTTGAGCTATAATTTTTTTAATGTTAATAGGATAATTAGGTTTGCAACTTGCATTTGAATGTATAGTAGATTTTTGAGCTGCTGATGATAGCAGAATTGTGAAATTTGCTATCGCCAAGTTTAAATCCTGTTCATTTTTAAGAGGTATGTTGCAAGAAATTTTTTCATCAATTATCTCTTGGAATAATGGCCAATTAGTAAATTTATTTGTGAGAAAATATGAGTTTTGATTTTGAACTTCTGTAGCTGTAGAATATTGCAGAATAATTGGCGAATGATCAGAATTTGATCTAAATTTGATTTGATATCTAAACAATTATCATTAACGCTTTTAGTTATGAAAAAATCTATTAGATCGGGGATTTTGTTAAGGTCTGTTGGCCAATAAGTAGCTCGCCGGTGGATATTGGCTTAAGATTGTTTTTTTCAATCGATTTGTAAAGTTCTCGACCCCTAGGGGTGATCAGTCTAGAACCCCAGAATGTGTGCTTAGCATTATAATCTCCTACCGCTATAAATGAACTGCCCAGCGTATTAAAAAAATTTATAAACTGACCTTCGGTGATCCTGTGTTTAGGCGGACGGTAATTGGTTGATAGTACTAGTTGGTTGTGCGATGGTATATTAACTGAAATTGATGTTGCTTGAAGAAAGTACTTCTGGAATAGTTCAGCTTCATGATGATTTATGTTAGCTTTTATAATAACCGCAGTTTCTCCATGAGGTCTTCCGCTTGGGTGCGGAGTATTATAAACTATATAATTTGGTATACTTACGGAACTATTGTTAGTGAAATGTGATTCCGATATAAGCATGATATCTATATCGTTGATTGTTAAAAAATATTTAAGGTCTTGAGTGTGGTTACACAAGCCATTTGCATTCCATAAACAGATTGTTAGTTTGAAATACATGATTTATTTGCTAGAATGGTTGTGAGTAAATTCAGCATAGTGCTCATTTGTTCAGTAAGTGTTTTTATCATTTCTTTCAATTCTGACAGATCATTGATATTATTAATGTTTGTCGAGCTCTGATTAGTAGTTGATGGAATGTCCTGGTTTACAGGCAGTATAGTATTTTTACGTGTAATATGTGAGTATGAGATACCTGGTTTAACATTTGAGGTTGTTCCATGAATTGGTGGTGTTCTCTGTCTTGGTGATGGAAATTTTTTTTCAAATTGTTCCTTATAGATTTTGCATCCCTTGTAGTTGGCAGGATGGTCAAGACCACATAGAACACACTTCACTTGATCATTGATCTTGTCTTCCCATGAACACTTCTCTGTCAGGTGATTTTGTGCGCACTTTACACACCTCGGGGTCATGTGACAATGGTTCGGCATATGGCCGTGCCTTTGACAGCGTGTGCACTGGACGATTTCTTTAGTATATCGCTTATCCTCGATCGTTACTTTGGTTTTGTATAAAAATTCGATTTTGTAAAAATCTTCATTACTTGGTTGTTGTTCCAGCTCAACAATGAACATATTTAATGGATGTTTTGTAAGCCTGTTCTTGAGGTTTGCGATGCGAACTACCTTGTGGCCTAGAGCCTGAATTTCCTCTTGCAGAATATTGACATCGGTGCTGTGATGCAAATTTTTGACAGCAATTTTAAAAGTGCGATTTCTTTTATCTTGAAAAGATTGCATTTGTGTGTCTCTTTCTTTCAATAATTTAATAATTTTATTATATAGTTGCGGGCTGTCAAGATTAATTCTCACCTTTGTATCATCAATAACTTTCAATTTATACAATTTTTTTGCTTCGCTTTCTAAAAGTACCGATAATGGTTTTATGTCTCGAACATCGTGTATAAATATAGGCGGCGGTCTATTGTGCACAGCTTTCATTTCGGTTACTTTCTCAGAGCTGGCTAAAACTTCATAAAAGTTACTTGTTGGTGTTGGTTTTAGCCAATAGTCTGAGGTTGTCGTTTTTATCGGCTGTGGTTCATCGTTTTGGGCGCGTTTGATTTTTTTATTTTTAATTTCAATCCAGTCTGAATCCTTACTGGTTCGGAAGAAGCTTGTGGAAGTGATTCGGTAATTGATCTCTTATTTTTTGTTACCTTCCTTGACTTAATTGGGCGAGTTTCTAAATCCATTTTTTTCCAGTCCATTTTTGACGTTTCATTAGATTGATGACTTTTGATATTATTTTCCCCATGGGGAAACATTCGATAAGTATCCAAACACTTATGCAATGATTTATGCACTATTTACAGATAAATTTAATAATATTTACTGTATTTTTTTCCAAATTTATTTTCGCTTTTTTTATAATGACAAACAGGATGATCGAGGATTTTAGTATGACGTCCAGTACTGGTATTCTTGATGACATCCACTACGAAAGGGATGTTGAGGTCATCATGTATGATTTTGTTGCTGACAAACCACGGGGCATCAGTAATCGTCCGTAGTGTTTTAGATTGTAATCGTTGAACAAGTCCCACATTTGATTTACTACAACATCCCCACAGTTGAATTCCATACTTCCACACAGGTTTAATTGTGGTCTTATAAATTAGAAACTTATTATCTGTGGGTATCTTCTACATATATTTCCACTTGAATAAGTCAAATATTATAATATAATATTATTTATTATATTAGATATATTTACATTGAAATTATAATTTATTATATTAGATATATTTACATTGAAATTATAATTTATTATTTTCTTCTTCGTGGTGGCTACTGCCCGTGGTCCTAGGTCAGTAGTTGTTGACTCCTTGAATGGTTGAGATGAAAGAGGATTAGTCGGTGTTGCGCTATGCGTTAAATACCCTCAGCAACAAGGGGTGGGGATGTCTAAAGGGTATATCGTGGTGCCATCTGGTGCAATGTAGGCGGTGACACAATTAAAGTTGAGGCATAACTGGTGACGCCATCAGTTGTCAAACCTCTTATATAGATGGTTCTCACAGGAGCCCTCTGCGGAGACTGGAGGTCATGGTATGCAAAACTGAACTTTTCGGCCTGATTGAGTGAAGTAGTTGTTCTCTGCTTTGGTGATGATTGTTTAGCCTACTGGATCTGCTATGATGTAGGCTGATTTGATGCGATCGATGGACACCCGTGTATTGCCTTTCTGTGTTCGTATGGTTACTGTTTTGTCATCTCTCTTAAGGACTTCGTATGGACCTTGATATGGTTGTTGAAGTGACTTCCTGATAGTATCGTCGCGGAGGAAAATATGCGTGCATGTTTGTAGGTCCTGAAAAATAAACGGTTTATTGTTTGTGTGATTACTGGATTTACTTGGTTGAAGATGCGCTACGTGTTGTCGAAGTCTCGAGATTAGATCAGCCGGATGTCTTAAATTTTGAGGATTTCTGTGTAATTCAAAAATTTCTCCAGGAAGGCGGAGTGGTTCACCATACACCATTTCAGCTGCTGATGTCTTGATATCAGGTTTGTAAGCGTTTCGAATGCCTAATAGAATTAGCGGAAGTGCTTCCAACCATGTGTTGTCTTTGTAACACATTATAGCGGCCTTGAGTTGTTGATGGAAGCGTTCTATTAGACCGTTTGAACATGAATGATAGCTGCAAGTCTTGATCCTAATGGTACCTGTCATATTATTTAATGATCTAAATAATTCAGATTCAAATAGAGTACCTCGATCCGTCGTTATTTTGACTGGAGTTCCAAAGCGAGATATCCAGCATGATAAAAATCCAATGGCTATTTCTTCTGCAGATATTGCCCAGTAGTGGGTATACTTCTGGCCATTTGGTAAATCGATCAATGGCTGTCAGACAATATTTATAGGAGTTAACAGGAGGTAAAGGACCAATTATATCGATGTGTACATGTGCAAATTTTGCTGTTGACAAGGGAAATGTTTCGTTAGGTGCATGTACATGTCGTGTTATTTTGGACTTTTGACAATCTTGACAAGCTTTAGCCCAATCGTGACAGTTTTTCTGTATAGATGGCCATACGTACCGTGCAGTAATAAGACGCGAAGTTGCTCGTATTCCAGGGTGACTCAAACCATGTAATAAGTTAAATATTTGTCCCCGCAGTGGTGCCGGGATATAAGATCGTGGCTGAGCCTTCGCCGTGTCGCAAAACAACTTTATGTGTGTGCCTGGTACTGGAATTTCTTCTAATTGTAGTTTGGTGTCTTGCATCAAAAGGCGTTTAAGTTCCGCATCATCTTTCTGGTGTTGTGCTAGGATTTCGAAATTAAGTAAATTATCTTTTGTAATGGCTTCGACTCGTGACAGTGTATCAGCTATGATATTTTCCTGGCCTCCGATGTATTTTATGTCTGTTGTAAACTGTGAAATAAAATTTAGATGGTTTATTTGAACTGGCGGAAGTTTTTCATGGCGTTGGTTGAATGCAAAAGTTAATGGTTTGTGATCAGTGTATATTGTGCATCGATGTGCTTCAAGGATGTGCCTGAAGTGCTGCACAGCAAGATATACCGCTAGCAATTCTCTGAAATAAGCTGGCCATGTCGATTGACGAAGAGTGAACTTTATAGAGAAGTATGCTAGGCCATTTGTTTTCAACCAATTGTTGCAAACAGGCACCTACTGCCTGCTGGGAAGCATCTGTAAATAATCCTAATTTAGCACCATGAATTGGATGTTGGAGTAGCGTTGCTTCCGTAAGTTTGTCTTTGCAGGATTGAAATGCTTTTTCTAGTTCTGGAGTCCAGGAAATAGATTTATTGCCTTTGATAGATGATATTGCATCATGAAGTATTGCTTGGTTCGAAGCTGACTTTGCGGTTTCTCGACGAGTAAAATTCGTCAGATTTTCGATACGTTCAGATGGTGGCTTGGTTCCTGTTGCGGAAATTTCGTATCCCAAAAACTGAATCTGCGGGACACAAAAGGTACTTTTTATCTGATTTATTACAATTCCATGGTGCTGAAGGCGTTCAAATATTGTTCGTAAATGCACTCGATGCTGTTGTTCATTTCAGGAAAAAACTAAAATATCATCTATGTAAGCAAAACAAAAATTTAATCCTTTTAACACTTTGTCTATGAAGCGCAGAAAAGTCTGTCCAGCGTTTCTGAGACCGAAAGACATGAATGGAAACTCAAACAGGCCAAAAGGCATTGATATTGCTGTCTTTGGTACGTCTTTTTTTTCTACCGGTATTTGCGTGTATGCCTTCACTAAATCTATAACAGAAAATGTTTTACATTTCTGGAGATTTGTTGAGAAATCGTGAATGTGACGGACGGGATATCTATCTGGCGCTGTCCTCGCATTAAGTGCGCGATAGTCGCCACACGGTCGCCACCCTCCATCTTTCTTTTTGACCAGGTGTAATGGGGAAGACCAAGGACTTTTTGATCGACGTGCTGTGCCGCCTTGCAGCATTGATTCGAATTCATCCTTGGCAGTCTGGTATCGGTCTGGTGCTAGACGACGTGGACGGCATGTTACAGGTGGGCCTGGCGTTGAAATAATGGAATGTCTTGTGCTGTGGAGTGGTTGACGCAGTGTGCCGGATGGTTTGATTAAATTGGAAATTCTGATAGTAGTTTTTGAATTGTCGGATCCTTGTGTATGAGTGTTTTAACGTTCTCTTGGTGTGATGTATGAGTTACACATGCGGTGTGCAACCCAGTTTTTCCATCGACAAGGCGTCTATTTCGGCAATCTGGTAGAAGCTCAAAAAATGCTAAGAAATCCGAACCTACTATTGGTGTATCCACGTCTGCGATAATGAATTTCCAGTCAAACTGTCTTCGCAGCCCGAAATTAAGACGCAAATTCTTCAGTCCGTACGTTCGAATTGGAGTACCATTGGCAGCTTGTAGTTCATACTCTGATTTCTTGCATTTACTGAAAGCTCTCCTAGGGTAGCACGAAACGTCTGAACCGGTATCTACAAGAAATTTAGTGCTATTGTTCTTATCAAAAATAAAAAGGCGACCTTTAGTGGATTGATGATCAGTTGTCGTACCTGTTTTGTTTATTCCTCCAGGGTGTTTTTAGTGGATGTCGGTAGATTGATTGTGATGCAGCTGCTTTGTTGAGTCTACATGCGGGATCAACGGTTGAGCTTCTTTGTCCGCTGTGATTGCCAATTTATCTAAAGGTAGGTCACTTTGGATTTGTAAAATGCCGCGAACGAAAGTAGGCAGCCGTTGTATCCATAAAGATTTGAATATTGTTTCACCTATTTTTATGTGACCGGCCAAGGAGCGAAGATGTCACAAAAATTGTGATGGGCTGCGATCCCCTAATTCTTCCTCCGAAAGTAGCTGTTTGATCCTAGTTTCTTCTGATGCGCATAGTCTGCTTACGAGGACTTATTTTAAATAAGAATAGGGATTTTCTGCTGGTGGCTCACGAATCACGTCCTCCACTTCGCGTGCGTGCTTCTCTTCCAGGTGGGTGACTACATAAAAAAATTTTGTGTTGTCGTTTCTTGTCGAAGCAATTTCGAACTGTGCTTCTACTTGCGCAAACCATAGGTCCGGGCTATTGTTCCAAAACGGTGGTATTTTTACTGCAACTCGGTTAATTGTATCGTTTGCGGATACATGATTTGAGGCAGGTTCAGATGCGGAACCCTTCGGTATCTTGGAAGGCGTTTTATCAGAATTCTTACCTGATTTTTCCATCTTCAGATCAGAATATCACGTCGGGGTCACCAATTATGTGGGTTTCTTCCACATATATTTCCACTTGAATAACTCAAATATCATAATATAATATTATTTATTATATTATTAATTAATATATATTAGATATATTTACATTGAAATTATAATTTATTATTTTCTTCTTCTGGCTGGCTACTGTCCGTGGTCCCAGGTCAGTAGTTGTTGACTCCTTGAATGGTTGAGATGAAAGAGGATTAGTCCGTGTTGCGCTATGCGTTAAATACCCTCTGCAACAAGGAGTGGGGATGTCTAAAGGGCATATCGTGGTGTCATCTGGTGCAACGTAGGCGGGTCCCACAAGCGGTGACACAATTGAATTTGAGGCATAACTGGTGACGCCATCAGTTGTCAAACCTCTTATATAGATGGTTCGCACATATCTAATGATAATTTTGATCTTCGACCAGCGAGCCAATTTTAATTTTGAAAGTGTAAGTTCAATTTGTTTTATTTTGGCCACGATGAGCGGCTTCCAGGTTAATCTGCGATCTATGTGAATACCCAAGTAATAAGATTCACATAGATTGACTGTGTCTTTGATTGGTATTTTTCTTTTATTTATGTACACAGCTTGACAATTTGATTTATTAAGTGTGAAGGTAATATGAGTTGACTTCGTATCATTAATTTTGATGCGCCATTTTTTTGTCCAGGTCGCTATTTTATTGAGATGATTTTGTAGGAAATTAGAAGCAAGAGTAAAATTTTCATTGCTGGCCAAAATCGCCATGTCATAAGCAAAAGCAGCAGTGGTAGAGCTCGTCATGGTTGGAAAATCACTAGTATATGTAAGGTACAAAAAAGGACCCAAAACGCTTCCTTGCGAAACACCTGATTTTATGGGAAAATGTGATGATGATTCACAATTATTTCTAACTTTATACCATCTGTTAGTTAAGTACGATTCCAAAATTCTATGAAAGCAAGCCGGCAGCAACCATTTAATTTTTTCTAAAAGGCCTTCATGCCATACTTTATCAAAAGCCTGGCTTACATCGAGAAACACTGCTGAGCAGTATTGTTTGCATTCGAAAATTTTGTGAATTGAATTCACAATTCTGTGGCACTGTTAGATCGTTGAATGCTGCTTGCGAAATCCAAGATAAGAAAAAATTGTCCTGAAAGATAAGAAAAATGAAAGTACACGATGCTTCAGTTGTATTCTCTCAGCGTATCCTCAATGATGAATAGATATGCTACTAAGCAGTATAAAAAAATATTGTTTACTGTATTTTGTCATTTCTTATTATATTGTGATTTAATCATATTTTAGATGATAATTTTGAAATACCAGAGTTAATATTTCTGAGAGATGAGTTTTGGTTTGCTAGTGTAATATAGAATTTTCTATCAGTAAGATATGATTTTAATATTAAGAATAATTGTGCAATTAAATTATTCTTTAATTTATGAATTAATCCAGCATGCCAAGCTATATCAAAGGCTTGGGATATGTCAAGGAAACAAGCTGGGCAGTACTTCTTTTCATGTAGAGTTGCATTTATCTGTTCGACGATTCTATTTGTTTGTTCTATGGTGAAATGGACTTTCTAAAACCGATTTGATAATCCGGGATTATAGATTTATCATAGAGTGTTGTAAGAACTTGTTTAAGCAGAAGTTTCTCAAATATTTTGGATAGGTTTGATAGTAAGCTTATAGGTCGGTATGATATCAGTAGACATGGATCTTTATCTGTTTTAGGAATTAGAATCACTTTAGCTATTTTCCACGCCTTGGGAAACACTTTTGATCTCAGGAAGAGTTGAAAAGTATTGTTATATACCTCAGAGTTTTTGGTGTGAGCTTTGGCTACTGAATAATAATAAGTCATTAATTTCTGAAACCATTTTAATCGTCTTGTACGGATGTCAAGAATTGAGTAAAAATATAAAACATATGTTCCAAAAAAATGTGCTGAAAATGAGATTTTGAAGAAGCGATATACCTTTGAGTTACAGGACTGTGACAGGAACGCGCAATATCTAAAAGGATTGTGGTTATGGTGTTCTACATTTTATACAGTTTTGGAAAAGTATTTAAATCTAGCCAATTTTGTAAATAAGTCCATTGTGTCATTTTGTTCATATTTTCCCTGTGATTATAAAAAACTGATTGAATTATTCTTTAAAAGTTTTCAAGTATATTGCAATAATATTGTATATTGTAAAAGGTGAGACATTGCTTCAAAACTGCTTTACATTTTTAATTTTTTTTTTTGTAAAATTTAATTTTTTTTTTGACAGATCATTTTCAATTAATTTTAATAGGGGATTTTAAATGAATATTATTGAATACTATTTAATTGTAGTGTGTTATTTTATTTATACTTATAAAACATTACTAAACGGGTCGCAAGTGTTATTAGAAACTCAAAATATCAAGTTTTTTGAAATGTTAATATCCAAATCATATTTTTTTCAAAGTCAGTACTCTTACAGAACTTTGTATAATTTATACTCATTCGCATTCATTAAACATTTTTATATTATATTACTAGTTTTATTTAAGTTATTTAAGTAATATTGTAAATTTGGAATCAAGTGCAGGGGACATTGTCCAATAACTTATTTTGAGTTATAACAGTCAACAATTTAAATAAGAAGGTTAGCTGATAATACAAATTGGAATACACATCTGTAAAAATGTCGATAATGTAAAAAATGCATCAATGAAATTTATATTCTGCATTAGTTGAATAATGTAATTATTTTGTAAAATACCTTTTAAATTAAAATAAAACATTGAACCTGTTTGCCATCTGGCTGTCGCAAGTTACCGTTAAATTTTTGAAAAAAACAGCAACAAAGTAAAACGAAAGACCCAAAAAAGATTTGGATAGGATTATACCATAGTTGCAGACTGGATTTGCAGTAGGAGCAGTCGGGGCTACTGCCTAGGGCAGCAAATTTTCGTGGGCGGCAAAATTTGGATAGTAAGAAAAAAATTCTATACCATATAATTGACTCATTTTTAATAACATTTTTTATTTCAAAAAATATAATTAACAAAACATAAAATACGAATGCAATGCAGAATTTGGCAATTTGGCTAATATAAAGATTCGAAAATGAGCTGAAAGTTTAAGAAAAATATGTTTTTCAGATCTCGAGCTCTTAAGATGACGAATTTCTTCCAAACTTCTAGCGCTGAAAAAAATTAAACTAGTGACGCATGGCATTGTGCCTTAAGGAAAGTTACTGAAAAATACATTTTATGAAAAGCTTTAAAATTTTTTGAAAAAAAAAATTGAATTTAAAAAATCTTTCTTTTATATTTCGAATTTAAAAAAAAAAACTTTTATTTATTAAATTTATTAAAATTAAATTTTATTTGAAAGATTCGATTTCTATTGATAACGATAACGTGCTGATTAGTTATTGGCCAAGGCAGGCCCAACTGTTTCGAAAATACGGGCCAGAATGCCAAACATGATAATTCAGGTTTTGAGAAACGGAACATCAAATATTAATAAAAAAATTACATGCATAGACAAAATAAAGAACTGCTTAATTTTGTGTGAGGCAGGTCTAGCGGTTTCGGTGTTCCAATAAAAAAAATTAAATAGATACATTTGGCGGTCAAAAGTGATCATTAGACATGTGCACATCAAATTTCAGATATTTTTCCTATTTCAGATATTACTCATCAAATTATCAGATATTTTAATAATTAGTATAAATTTTTACATTTCTATGGGTTCTGTAATATTATTTATCCGTTATTCTGCGACGCGGTGCTTACACTCTTCTATCTTTTGTCTCTACGCAGCTAAAGCAGCGCGATTGGTTTAAAAAAATGTTGAAAATTTTCTAAATATAAAAAAAAACTCAAAATTTTCCGTTTTCATTTTTTTTTTGAATTTTAATTTTTGGTAAGTATAAATTCAGGAATGGGACGGCATTTTTGTCAGTGCCCCAGGGCGCCAAATTTCTAAATCCGGCCCTGCATAGTGGTATATGTTTTTCATAGAAAGTATATAAAAGGTACAATTTGATTGTATTAACAAAATATAGGCAAACGAATAATGTTAATATAAATTATATAATATTGAATAAGTAGACTTTCATTATACACCTTAACTATGATTATACACTACACATCCTTATACACTTAAAATAAAGCATTAATTTCCTTGATTCTCCAGAAATTGTTTAGAAATACTTAGCAAAACAACGTTTGCCGGGTCAACTATTTTGTAATAAAAATTTTTCGGAACTGTTAATCTCGTCGATTACTGTCGTAGCGCCGCTGCGCTCTCTCCTCATTGTCAGGTGTGCCGACGCCCTTACGTTTGCTGTTCGCTCTACTGTTATTAGCATTCGTTATCTATGTGCGTATGTCGCCTAGACAATATAATAATATAGACGTTTCTCTCTCCCGATATTTCGGTTCAGAGAGCTAAGGTTAGCAACGCCCACGAGGTCTAATTGGCGCTTCAGTCGCATATCGCTCGGCATTCGAATTAGAGCGCCAAAATTTGAAATGAAAATATTTAGTTTCAAAAATAATAAAAAAAAGACCACGTATAATTTAAAAAATATTTATTAAAATTTAATTTTTGCATTACAATATTATATTTTATAAAAATACAATGATAATACACATCAAACAATAATATATTATAATATGTATCACATCAAGAAAATTTAAAAAGGCAACAAACATAACTACAGGTTTGAATACAAATCACACATACTTGTCATAACAATTTCTCTATTGGACTCTAACTTGTTACTACAATAATGTTAGTAAAATACAGTCACATATCATCAGTAAACCGTTTCAGAAATATATTTTCTAATGATAACAAAATGAATAGAATACAGTCATTAGTAAAAATTATAATACAAATATCCACACAGAAATATAAATTCTAATGATAATAAAATGGAATAGAATATAGTGATTAGTATAAATTATAATAAATACAAAAGTTTATAGAAATATTAGTGATGATAATAAAGGGAAAGAATACAGTCATTGATTAAAATTATAATCTATAAAAACTAATGAAATGGAATGGTGTATCATTCACCATCAAATTACAACATACAAAAAGTGTCAGTAATATAATTTCTAATTACTGTAAATTTGAATGCACACAATAATAAACATACACATGCTTCAAATAAGGAACCGTTTCAAATAAGTATTTAGAAATATAAGTTCTAAAGATAAAATTGAATTGCCCACAATAATGAACATACACATGCTTCAAATAAGGAACTACTAGTTTTCAGAATGAGTAGTTAAAAAACTAAAATGATGTTTGTTGCATCACATACATAGCTGTCTTCATGCTCTGCGGAAAGACTGAAAAGAATTCATAAGCAGTAAAAAATGTATTAAGTAAGATATATATTATATATATATATATATATATATATATAAAAAATATATAAAATTTTCAGCCAATTGTCGAAATAAAAGAAAACATAAATAAAGAATTATTTATTTATAAGTTTCGACACGTGTGTCATCATTCAGCAACCCTTTTTGAAATTGTTTACAGTATCTGAAAAAAATTGTTTAATGAAGATACATATGTGTGTGTGTGTATGTGTATGTATATGTAAAATAAATAATATATATATGCTAATTTAGAAAAATTAGCGCACACCACGCTTTGTGTTTCGAATTGCCAGTTGCCTCTTTCTCATTTTATCAAAACGCAATAGAGCTTTTGTCTTCATAACATTCATAGGTCTAGAGTAAGTTATTTTACCGCGTAGTGCTAAATTGATATCATTTACCCAATATTTT